AAGACAGAGACAGAGAGACAGAAAGCAAGAAATCACCCTCAGGGGGGGATGGCCACGCCACAATCCCTTCTCCTTCATTTCTCCTCTCATGATTTTGGGCATGCATGCACAAGCCCCCAGCATGAGTTTAAGCCACCGGATGTGGGACTTGAACCGTGGTTGCCTACATGGGAGTTCAGTGACATAGTCATTATGCTAACTGCTGGTCCCAACATTTTCTTTAACAATATAAGATTCCTGGGTCCTATCCTTGTCCTACTGAATTAGAATCTCAGAGCATGAAGCCTGGTATTTATTTATTTATTTAAACACAGGTTTTTGCTTTAGACTGAGTGTGCTCACTGGAGAGACAGAGAGAGAGTGAGAGAGAGAGAGAGAGAGAGAGAGAGAAGGAAAGTGAGAAATCATCCCCCAGGGGGATGTTCATGCTGCAATCCCTTCTCCTTCATTCTCCTCCTGGGGCCTTAGGCACACACGCTGGCCTGGTGTGTCTCAAGCCACAAGGTCTGGGACTTGAACTGTGGTCAGCCAGGTGAGTGTCCAGTGTAATTGCCACACCATCTGCTTGTCCTGGTATTTTCATTTTTGACATAGTGATATTGCTGCATGCTGACGTTTGAAAGCTATGGCCTGAAAAAAAATGAAGAGTTATAAAGTATCTAGATCTGCCGATAGTGCCTTTTATTTTTACATACAATATCAGAGCTGAAAAGGTCCTTAGAAATCCTGATTTTATAAATGTGGACAAGATGTTGAAATTTGGCTAAGATCACTCTATTAGTGGTATAGATGTTTTGGGATTGTAGGCCATAACACCCAAATGCAAATTACATTTCACTTGCATCTATTATCCATTATTTATTTATTTATTGAGACTTTTTTTGCTAGGGTGCATTGCTTACCGGAGAGAGACACAGAAAGTGAGGAATTACTTTCACACTGCAGTGGCTACACTGCAATCCCTTCTCAATTCTCCTCTTGAGATTTTGGGCATGCCTTACCCATTACACCACCTGCTGGCCCCTCCATTGTCTTAATTGTCTATGCCATGGGCCAACAGATCTTCCCTTTGTTCTTAGAAGATCAACTGAAATTCAGGTACATCTGAAAAGAAATGACTTAAATAGGAATCTTTAAAGCTTAGGAAAGTTCTGACATCTCACTAATAATGGGCATAAGGAAAACTTTTTTCTAAAGATTTGTTAAGAGACGGTTCTGTGCAATGTCTAGTTCTTTCTGCTTCTCAAGCCTCAGTGACACCAGAGAGGGAAATTTTTCTTTAAAACTTTTTTTTGCTATAGGATGCATGTACTTGCCAGACACAAAGGGAGGAAAGTGAGAAATCACTCCCAGAGGGGAGGGCCACGCCACAATCCCTTCTCCTCCATTCTCCCCTCAGGATTCTGGACACACACAAACACCCAGAGTGATTTCAAATCACTGGGTCCTAGATTCGAACTATGGAGTTGGCCACGTGGGATCTAGCACCTTAACCTCACCACCTGCTGGCCCAGGGAAGGAAACCTTTTAATATAAATTATTTCAAGTGGCATGTGAAATTCTGTTAGAATAGATTAGGGTAGTGCTTCGCTAATGCTAGCTCAAAAACGATTTCAGCCTGTGAGAAGTTGGATCCTGGCATGTGTATGTGATAATCTGCTCTCGTGACCTTCCTTATTTTGAGGTTGAGAGAGAAAGGGGGAGGTGGGAGTTTAAAATGTCTTACTTGTTACAAATAATGGAGATAAAAGGTGATAGTTTTAAAAAATGTGGACTAAGGGCCAGCAGATGGCATGGTGGTTGAGGTGACCAACCACAATTTGAATCCTGAATGTGGTGGCTTGCTTTCTCACTTTCCTTCTCTATTTCTCTGGTAAGCACATGTGCCCTATAACATCATCATCATCATCATCATTATAAATAAAATGAAGCAAATAATTCTTTTTAAAAATGTGGCCCAAATTAAAGATAATTTAAAAAAATCCATGTAATCAAAGGTTTGTAAACACAACTAAGATACATCACCTTATCTTGTTACCGTATCCCCACATACTGACTCCCATCTCAGTGTGAAATCAATGCCTATTCAGAGGACACATCCGACATTCCGAGCTCCATGACCTCATTTCTAAGATGATCTCTTTCATATGCTACTTCATTCTTCTACTTGTTCCTGTGTCTTTCATGATTGAATCGGCCTCACCTCAATTCAGACAATTCTCTTCTGATCACTCTCCTATCACTTTGGTCTTACTGTTCCACCATTCTCACTACAGTGGAGTTTCACTCACCAGAACCATTAGGCCATAGACCATTCCTCTTGTTCCTGCTAACAGCTCTCTCTTGTTTTCACTTCCTTGTCTATCCAGCTAAGATGCCACTGTTCATCACATCCATAAATTATTCTGCAATATTCTGAAATCTGTGGCTCCTGTCTCTTTTTATTAAGAGCAGGCAAAAGCTCCAAACTGGAAAAACCCAACACATGTAATATCCCTACCAACAGCATAACAACAGGGCAGGCTAGTACTACTGAACATTCCTAATCGTTGGTGTCAACTGAGTCCCTAAGTATGCCCAGCAATCTTACTCATCTCTTCTGGTTAACTCACGCTCCCATTCTCGACAGTGATTGTTTCACTTTCCTGACTCTAACACTCATACTGTTACCGTTTCTCTAACTTTCAGCACACTCCTTGTCTTCTGCCTCACAGGAAGTATAGAAGGTATTGTAAGGGAACTTCCTGCCACAAAAATGACTTTAGCTACATTCACACCAGGCCTCTCATCTCACACTTCACCCCCATGGGGTGTGGGGGAAGGCTCCTCTCTCCCCTAACTATGCTCAGACCTTACCCTTGAGATTCTTAAGATCTCTATTCTGTTAGTTACTTTTCTCTCCAGTGTTTTCTTAACCGGATCCCTGCCTTCCGGATTTAAACATGCTCACATCTCTCCTGAGAGCACAACATCTCTGTCTCCTGTGTGAATGTCAGTGTGTTTGACCTGTCTTCTTACTGGGTTGCTGCCATTTTTAACCATGAAAACAATGCTGTGATGAAAACCTATATAATTTTGTAGAGGGACAGGTGTATGGGTAGGCTGGATTCCACAAAGACTATTATTTCAGTAAGTAATTTGACATTTATTGTTAGGTTCCCCTCCACAGAGTTACACCATTTCATATTCACCAGTGGAAGAGTGTAATTTCTCTTGTCTTGCCAACAGAATGTTATCATACTATGGGAATGTTGCCAGTCTGATGACAAATGTTACATTTGTTTAACTTGCGTTTCTCTTATTATTAAAGAAATGAGCTCTCTATCCAAGTTTAAGGTTATTCATTTAGTTTTTTCCTGTGAAGTTTGTTTTTGGCCCATTCTTCTGTAGAACTGTGTGGTTCATTTTCTTGGTAATATCTAAGACCTCTTTATCTAACAGAGAGCTTAGAAGGGCTATGTTTTTAACACATTATAGAACCATAGCTTTAAAAGAAGCCATTCATGGTACTCTCAGCTTGGAAACAGGAATCTCCTGCTCCTAATTAGAATGTTACTGTTCCTAATTTTTTAAAAAATAAAAGCATTCATTTAGAGAGAGAGCAAGTACCCTCCACAGGGTCTCACATGATTGTCCACTAGCCAGGATCCTGGGTATGCATGCATATGCTCAGTGTGTACAGGTTGACTTGGGAGCTAAACCCTGATCTTCCATATGGCATCCAACATTGCAAAACATTGCTCTATTGGCACACCGTGCACCTGTGCCTAGTTTCTGACTTAAAGAAATTTAAAGCTACCTATAGTCTTACTTTCCTACATTCTTTCTAAGCACGTAAGGTAAAAAGGGAGTATCTTCATCTGTCACAACCTGTCTCCCAGAGGAAGCCACCAGTACAGTGTTTTGTTGCGTATTTGTCCCCCTTTGTTTTTTGTCTTCTTTTTTTCTGCTAGTCTTATTTAAAACTTATGTGGTGGAAGATGTTCCAAATTTAAAAATATGATCATATTTAGGGACTAAGATCTATGCAAACCCGGTATACTTCCTGGCACCGTGGCCATTTTAGGAGCAGGTTAGGAACTTGCTGAGAGGAGCTGAGAAGCCCTTGAGAGACTGCTCACCCTATTCTGTAACTGGCTATCACTGTGGCAGGTTAGATTAGGTTCTGCTGCAACCTAACTCTCCCAAATTAAGCTCTTGATTAAAAATAGCTTTACCTCCAATCAGTAGCAAGACCTCAAGAAAACAACAAAAAACTCGAACACATTGGTAATTTTCAAGTTTTAGTTTATATTTAGAAATAAAAATCTTAAATATCAAATTATTACAAAATTGTCACATAGGAACATACCTTAAGATATCACTGCATGCTATATTGATTTATAAAATATGACAGACATGGTTGATACCAACAGCTGTTATTTCTGAACATGAGTTCCTTCCTTGGGGCAACAAGAAAGCTCACACGAAATGTCAGACTGAAGCCAGTGAGGCACAATGACACAGTACTAACCCAACACCACGGCGGGGGGAGGAAGTGTGGAGCCTGGTCTCCCCGGCTGGGTGCTGAGCCCTGGCCCTCAGTTTCCCCATGTGCTAGAAGGGCTCCAGCCTGGTGACTTATAGAAGTCCTGTGTGCCTTGGTCCTTTTAAAGACAATGTAAATCATGACCACTGTTTTCCTCTGATTGCAAACGTCAACAGAAAATAGCATGCTTCAAACTCTCACTACAAAGTATCAGTGACTTTCACGACCTCTGGGAGAAGTCTGTTTCGGAAGTTTCCGATGGAGTCACTTCCTTGCTCTGTGATTTGTGCCTTGGAGGCAAACTCCACGCACACCTGTGTACGTGAAGAAACTAGCTGGCGGTCCTTTCTCTGAAGCCATTGTCTACGGCTCTGCCTTCACCGAATAGGCTGTGCCTCCTCTCTCAGGCTCAAACCATTCTCTCCCAAATTACAGAGTAACCAAGCCGATGACTTATCGTCATTTCTTGGCATTCTACTTTATATTACAGAAGTTGTAGTCTAATATGTTCCTATGGAGTTTTTTCTTATCATTCTGCTAATAAACAGTTTGAAGATGTTAGGTAATAGCTCTTCAGGTATTTTGCCAGTATACAATGCACAACTGATTTGCACAGGAACAAAAGAGAAGATGTTTATGCTGGCAGATCAGATGTACTTCAGCACCTCATAGTTGTAAGTCTGTCCCTCTGTGAATGTTGCATTTTGGCCTTAAGAAGAGACAACTCAGTTTGCTCATGCTCTCTCAAATAAGGTATTTAGTTACCTTTTCAATATCAAACATGATTTTTTACAACAAAAACATCCTTGGTTAAAAACATCACAAAACCATGAACTCAGATAAATGATCTAAAAATCCAGTTGACCCATTTTCATGTATCAATTCTGAAATATGTGCTGAAGCCTTTGACCATGCTCATAGATTCTCAAGTTCTAGGGTACATTATTCCACATCATCATTTCTATAATTGACAAAAGCCAGAGTGTACAGCCTCCCCTCAAAAAACAGAGAGGATATCATTAAAATTCATTACTTCAATGTTCAAGTTGCTCATAGTCTTGAAAATTCATAGAATAGCATCACTAAAATGTGCTAATTATGAAAGCTGTTAATTTAGTTATTTCCTCTCATAATGATTGCACCATTTATTCATTTTCACTTATTCCTAATTAAAATTCATTTTCAACTACCTGACTTTGAGGTAGCTTTACAGTGGTTTTATTGCTATGGAAGTAATATTCAAAGTACCTTCTAGAGCACCGCATCAGATCTGAATGAAAGAGGGAAATACAGTACAAATCATACTGTTTTCTCACTTGGCATACATACAAATAAAAAAAAAAGAAAAAAGACAACTATTTCTTTAGGGATGAAAATACAAGTCTTTTGTGAGCATGGACACAATACATGGAATCTGTTTCTTTGCATGAAAAGTAGGGTCGAGGGAAAAAGACTCAAAATCTAGGGCTACTTTTCGGTTAACACGGGTGAGAATATGCATAAACTCAAGCTTGTGGGCATACTGTTTCAGCATAGCACAAAGTGACTGGATGAACCAGGATCCGTCCCTCGAATTTCGCCAGGAATAGTAACCTATAAGACAAAATGTCACCCAAAGACCATGAATGTTTGATTTTAGCTGGTTCGACAACTTATTACATAATCATAAGGGTAAATAAAAATAAGCAGAAACTTTCAAGGATCTTATTACCCATAAAAAGAAAAAAAATGACACCTTCATTTTCAAAATAAATGATGCAGGAGGGAAAAAATAAAGTGTATGCTTTGCCTACCTTTCTGCCTTTATCAAAGAAAGAGATTGTGGAGTAACTTAAGTGTCAAATTATTGAATTTTACTTTCTGGAATCCCCTTCTAATATGAAAGAACAGTAAACATGCAGAAGATAAAAAGATGAGAACAGGCCTTCTTCAAGAACCACCTCCATGGCTCCTGCGATCTAGCCATTTTGGGGGAAACGGAGAAATGAAGATGTCCCACTGATAATTTGGCCTCCAGCATAGAAAACTCGCATGGTAGGAAGACTCCTTTCAGGCCTCCTCTCTCTGTATCTGTCTTTGTCTCTCTCTACCTCTGTCTCTGTCTCCTCTCTCTCTTTTTTTAAATTTTTGCTTTTTAGAATTTTTTTAAGGTGAGGCATCTTCCTGGGCCTGTTGGCCCCTCCTAGCCCTTTATCTTGTTAATAATTCCCTCTCCCCCTCCCAACCCAGGAGAGGCGGAAGGGAAGAGAACAGGCCTTCTTCAAGAACCAGCTCCATGGCTCCTGCGATCTAGTTATTTTGCGCGGCGCGCTTGCATGCCACACGGTTTTCTAATTTTTGAGTTTTATTGAAATTTTTTGAATATTAATTTTTTTAAGTTTTATTTAAAAGTTTTTCTCTTCATTTTTTTTCTCTTTTTCTTTGTTTCTTGTCTGTTTTTTTTTGCTGTTGTTGCTACTTTTTCCCTCCCTGTTTCCTTTTCTGCACGCTCCTCGACCCTCAGATTGAACTCCCAAGTTTGGGAAGAAACCGACCATCCACCAGATGACTAGAAATCGATGCAGGACCACAAGAAATATGGGGAAGCAGGAAAATACCTCTCCTCC